CAAGTGGGTCATGTCTAGACATGTCCGCCTTAAAAGGGACTCATTTACTCCAAAAATGGGACCCATCATTCTTGCTGGAATGTTGCCCGACACCATCTTTGGGACTTTCCACTTGAGTCAGCTAAGGTGATTGAGGCTTTACCCAACCTGGTACATCTGACCAACCCGTCTGCCATAAGGGGTGTGTCATGACTAATCGCCCTGTAATATAATTGGATGATATGGAGGGAGGGAGGACGCGTAATATTATTGGACATATTTCAATCCTGAATGTAACTGGACAAATCTGAAGTGTTTATATTGTAATTGGTCAGTAACTAATGAACCAATGGAAATTAGAGTGGACTTAAAGAAATTACTGAAACATAAAACAATCTTCCTCAAATTCTTCCCAAAAGGTTGGAAGGATATGATTGTTTTTGTATACTGTATTATAACAGCACCTGTCCACACATTCTTGACCATATAGCCAATACTGTGTAACCTCTACAAAGAGTGGACTGCAACAAATACAGATTTAAGAATTCTTATCTATCATTGGCAAATCCTTACCAACAAGTGCAATGTTCTTTTGGCATAATTTAACATTTAAGACATTTCTAAAGAAAAATATGAGAAAGCTGAATTTTTTTGTACTCACTGTAAAATCCTTTTGTGTAATTTTGTTGACTGACATAGCTTTCAATGTTCTCCACTTTTGGATTTTACTGTCACCTGCAGGAGTAGGACACTATGTACAAAACTAAACTAAAACTCGGCCTAGGGGCAGTCTCTGCTGGTTGCCAACCCCCCTCTGAAAAGCTGTTAGGTCCCATGGTTCCCATAGGTTTTTACATGCTTGAGTGAAAACGGATACTACCTTAGGAAAGATAGAAGGTCTCCAAGAAGAAATTCTCCAAGACGGAACCAAAAAAAAAAAAGGTGCCTGTCTAGGAAAGAATCAACAAAAGGTATGACTGAAGGAGGCTGACTATTATGTATCAGAACTGGATTCCAAACAGTCAAGTTGTTAAAACCAGAGACTGTAACCAGGATGAAAAATGGGACCTTGAGACAGAGGGGCTATACAAAAAGAGGAAAGCGCCAGGGGGCATCTATGACTAGACAAACTACCACCGCATACAAAGACCAACAAGGCCATTGCAGCATTACCAAAATTACCCAAATCCCCACAGTAAAAGCTTTATCAGAGGAAAAAACTCCTGGCCCAGGGATCCACAGTCCTGGCTACAAACCTGTCCACTTTGCAGTTGAGGCAAGATACCATCAGTCAATATATGGCAATCCCTACCACAGACACAATTTGTGCAAAGTTTTCTGATGGAGACACCACTCTCTATCCAAGGTTAGTCAGCCTGATAATAATCGACGTCTAATTTACACCACAGGGGGAGCCAGAACATGATTTTTCTGCCCCTGCAAAATGTGCGACATCACCAGGGCTATGGTCGCCCACTTTTTACTCCTCGGTGGTTAAATGATACAGTCATGGAGTTGTCAAAACTTTACATAGTCAACCACAGGAATGATTGCCTGAAGTGCCAGCACATGGATGGCATAACGAGCCTTCCCCTGGGGTAAAAGACTCTAAGACGATGTGATCAAGTAATCCTTCCCAGTCCACTGAGCTTTTATCGTCAAGATCTTCTGGTGAAGGGTAAGGAAGGACTGCCCAGCACTCAGCAGTAGTAAACAAAGGCACCAAAGTAGAGAAGCCTTGAATAGATGACTCAGCCTGATCTAACTGCTCAGGAAACATGGAGACTTTTTCTTAAAAAAACTTGAATATGGTGTTGTACGCATAGGGGGCAGCCCAAAATGGAACCCAAAATTTGCATGCAACAACAATCTGATGCCTAGTTGCATGATCACAGAAATGAAATGTGGCACTGAAGCTTGTCTGGTCTGTCAGGCTAGTGGCAGGACAGATCCAGTAATAACAGGCAGAAATATGGTACAAAAAACAATTATTGATGCTGAAAGGCCATCCAAATTCAATCTGGGTCCAGAAGAACATCAAGAGATTGAACACCCGCTTCCACTCCATGCAAATGATGTCGATCATAGCTATCCAATGATTCATGGAAGCAAAAAAAAAAAAAAAATCAAACTGCCATGTAGGAAAATTTTGTCCACACGAACAAAATTCTAAGCGTGAGTAGCAGTAGTAATCGAAAAACAGGTTATGTGTCTGTCAAAAAATTAACCTAGATCGAACAAAAAAAAAAAAACCCCAATACTTAAATTCTAAAAACAAATGAAAATATGTACATGATAGGTGGAAACATTTCAATACAGTGATGGGTGAATCAAATGTATTATGGAATGTTGCATTGCAGCAAGAAAAGTGCCAAAAATAAAAATGGCACCATAGATGCATGTGGCTGCCACAAAAGCCAGAGTGCAGAGAGTCCCCCAATGCTTCCCAAGGGATAAAAGAATACTGAAAGGTGCAGAGGGGCAAGAAAAATAGCAGTTCCCAGTTGCCTTTGTCAGCACATAACTCAGGCTGCGGCCAACAACTTTTCCCCATTCCCCTAAAAAGAGTAGGGGCCTGGAGGGGTTAGGGGAAAACCACTACACCACTTCCTAGGTCAAGATACCGATGTTCTGATAAAAAATAGGAGGCTACCTGCCTGGGTGCAGCTTCCCTGAGGTGGACACTGTGACAGGACAGCCCGAGGCTGACATACATCTCCCGAGAGGAACCAAAACTCCACAGGCTGCCCTTGCCAGGGCTGTGGCATCCGAACGCACACAGAGCAAGAACTACATAAGCTTGGTAGCTGAAACTGGGTAGACTCCCAGGAACTAAATTATCCAGTCTGTCACCCAGCCAGCAGCTTGATAGAATATCATCTCCAGTTATAGATGTAATTAAAAATGATTTCTTCTGAGGAAAAGAATAGAAAAAGCAGGAAATAAAATCGCAACAGGGAAAATTAGGTCTTCACTCCTAACTAGGATGGGCTTTTCTTTTGTTTTCTACCTAGCGTTCTACTCTACAGGTGACATTTACCAAATCATGAACAATAGAGAAAGCTATGTGTGTCAATGGCAAACTAAAATAATGTATCTTTTAAACCAGGGGTCCCCAAACTTTCTAAACAAATGGCCAGTTTACTGTAGGGGGGGCCAGGCTGTGACATGGAGTAGAAAATGTCTCAGGTTTGGTAGTCAGTGGAAGTATAAAAAAAATTATATAGCACCTGTGGTAAGCAAGAGGAGGAATAGTGCCCCTTAATTGGTATTAGTGGTAGGAATAATGCCCCATCAGTGGTGTCAGAGGGTACAATAGTGCCCCACCATTGATGTCTGTGAGAGGAAGAGTGCCCCATCATTGGTGTCAGTGGAAGGAAAAATGACCCATTATTGGTGTCAGTGGGCGCAGTGCCCCATCATTGGCGTCAGTGGGAAAAATAGTGTCTTGATTCAGTTGGAGGAATAGTGCCTTATATCAGTGAGTGGAACAGTATCCCAAAGGTCCAGAGAAGAACAAAGGGCCACAGTTTGGAAATCACTGTTCTAAATAATCAACTATGCAAGGCTTTCCAGTGGTTCACCTGCATCCTGAGAGAGAAAGTCCCCAGCCGTAAATCATAATAATTAGAGATTTTTACTTACCGTTGAGAAAGATGATAGAATCAGAAAACAGAATCTTCCCAAAGATGAAATTTGTACCATTCTAACAAAAAAAAAAAAAAGTAGTGAGTAAATTCATATTCATAGCACAGCAGTATTTACAATGCTCAAAAAATTTAAAGGAATACTTTTTAATCAGAGTATAGCATCAAGTCAACTAAACTCCTGGGATATTGATCTTGTCAGTTAAGTAGCAGAGGGGGTTGTTAATCAGTTTCAGCTGCTTTGGTGTTAATGAAGTTAACAACACGTGCACTAGATGGGCAACAATGAGACAACCCCCAAAACACGAATGGTTTTACAGGTGGAGGCCACTGACATTTTTTTCCCTACTCCGACTGTTTTTCACTAGTTTTACATTTGGCTAGGGTCAGTGTCACTACTGGTAGCATGAGGCGATATCTGGATCCTACAGAGGTTGCACAGGCAGTTCAACTTCTCCAGGATGGCACATCAATACGTGCCATTGCCAGAAGTCTTGCTGTGTCTCCCAGCACAGTCTCAAGAGCATGGAGGAGATTCCAGGAGACAGGCAGCTGGACACGGCTATAGAAGATCCTTTAACCTATCAGCAGGACCGGTATCTGCTCCTTTGTGCAAGGAGGAACAAGATGAACACTGCCAGAGCCCTACAAAATGACCTCCAGCAGGCCACTGGTGTGAATGTCTCTGACCAATCAGAAACAGACTTCATGAGGGCCCAACGTCCTCTAGTGGGCCCTGTGCTCACTGCCTGGCACCATAAAGATGAAATCCTTGGACCCATTGTCAGACCCTACACTGGTGCAGTGGGTCCTGGGTTCCTCCTGGTACACGATAATGGCCGGACTCATGTGGTGAGAGTATGCAGGCAGTTTCTGGAGGATAAAGGAATTGATACCACTGAATTTCCCCCATATTCGCTTGACCTAAATCCAATAGAACACCTCTGGGATATCATGTTTCGGTCCATCCGTCCCCGCCAGGTTGCACCTCAGACTGTCCAGGAGCTCAGTGATGCCCTGGTCCACATCTGGGAGGAAATTCCCCAGGACACCATCCGACATCTCATTAGGACGTTGTAAGGCATGTATACAAACACTTGGGGGCCATACAAACTACTGAGTACCACTTTGAGTTGCTGCAATTAAATTTCAGCAAAATGGACTAGCCTGCTGCATCATTTTTTCAACTTTGATTTCGGGGTGTTTTTGAATTCAGTCCTCTGTAGGTTGATAATTTTCATTTCCATGAAACAGTGGGGCATCCTTACGTTCCTAACACATTACCCCGTCCATATCAGTAACTGATAGGCAGCACTAAAGGGCACTGATAGGCAGTACTAATGAGGTGGCACGGATAGGCGGCACTAATATGCAGCACTGATAGGCGGCACTGATGATGGGAACTGATAGATGGCACTGACTGGCATCACTGCTGGGCACAACCCCTGGGCACTGACTGGTGGCACTGACTGGCAGCACTGCTGGGCTGCACTGGTGGGTGGCACTGGTGGGCGGCACTGGTGGGTGGCACTGGTGGGCGGGCACTGGTGGGCGGGCACTGGTGGGCACAGGTGGGTGGCACTGCAGAGTGGCACAGGTGGGTGATCTGCTGGGCACAGGTGGGCGGAGCTAGTGGGCGCACTGCTGGGCACAGGTGGGCGGAACTTGCGGGTGGCACTGCTGGGCACCGATCATCAGGGCACTGATCATCAGTGCCCTGATGATCGGTGCCGATCCCCGCTCTGACAACTGCCGGTTCTCGGCAGTACTTTCCTCACGATCTGACAGCGTGAGGAAAGTGCAGCCGAGAACCGGCACTTGCATTTCCCTCTGATCAGCGTGTCATTGTATTTCAATGGTTTTTATTAATTTTAAACAGTATAAAACAGAGGCAACAAAACACGCCCACGCAGGGGCTATCAATTGCACCGATAGAAAATGTATAATAGAGCAGACAATGCTCTAATTCCAATAAGGCAAAACGTATGCCCACGTAGGGGCTATCAATGGCACATAGGTTACAATAACATCAGTGAAACTCAGATTGTCGCAACTAAAGACAGCTGTCCACTGTCACATCAAAACAAACAGAAAAGGAAAGAAGAAAAGCAGAGAAGAAAGAAAGAGAAAAAACAAAAACACACACCAGAGAGCAAGGGTCGATCAGCGTGTCATTGGACACCGCTGATCACGTGGTAAAAGGCCGCTGTGATTGGCCTTTTACCACATCACGTGATCAGCTGCGTCCGTAGGACACAGCGATCACGGAGATCGCCGGGTGCGCGCCCCCTGGGGCGCGCAGGAGAGCGTGTTCTGGGAGGACGTCATATGACGTTTACTCAGAACTGGCCGGCCGCAGTGCAGCCGTCATTCGGCTATCTGCGGTCGGCAGGTAGTTAAATGAATCAAAGTGGTCAACAGCACTTTTATCACACAAGCAACAGGTCAGCAGCACTCTGGTTCCATCTCCATATTCTGCAGCTCTTGCATAAATGGCTCAAGGAAAATATGTAAAGAAGATCCAATATGGTAGTATTCATTTTACCACTTGCCTACCGGGCACTTATACCCCCTTCCTGCCCAGGCCAATTTTCAGCTTTCAGTGCTGTTGCATTTTGAATGACAATTGTGCGGTCATGCAACATTATACCCATATGAAATTTTTATCATTTTTTTTTCACACACATAGAGCTTCTTTTGGTGGTATTTAATCGCTACTGGGTGTTTTATTGTACTGTACTATATACAAAAAAGTGCAAAAAAAAAAAAAAAAAAACTAGTTTTTCTTTGTTTCTATTATAAAATTTTGCAAATGGATAATTTTTCTCCTTCACTGATGTGCGTTGATGAGGCTGCACAGATAGGCAGCACCGATGGGCGGCGCTAACTGACAGCCCTGACTGATGGCACTGATGGGTGCAACTGATGGGCAGCACTGCTGGGTGGCACTGCAGAGCACTTATCAGGGCACTGATCATCAGTGCCGATCTCCTCTGTGACAGCTGCCAGTTATCGGCAGTACTTTCCTCACGCTGTGATAGCATGAGGAATGTGCTGCCGATAACGGGAAATTGTATTTACTCCATGATCTGCTGTGTCATTTGACACGGCTTGTCACGTGGCAAAAGGCCGCTGTGATTGGCCTTTTACCTCATCACTTGATCAGCTGTGTCCACAGGACACAGCGATCATGGAGATCGTCGGGCGTGTGGGAGGGAGCGTTCTGGGAGGACGTCATATGACACCCTCCCAGAACTGAGTAACCGCGCTGTAGCGGTCATTCGGCTATAGCGCGGTTACCAAGTGGTTGAAGAGTCCACCAGTGACATTTATTAAAAGGATTAAAAAGGAGGAAACACTCACAATGCACAGAGACACTCTCTCACCAGCCACTTTATTAGGTACACATCGCTAGTGCCAAAAAAACATCCCACACACCATTACACCACCATCTCCCTGAACCATTGATACAAGGCAGGAAAGCTTCACAGTGTGGTATACGGAGGTGTCCCCCCCCCCCTATACACAGTGTGGTATACGGAGGTGTCCCCCCCCCTATACACAGTGTGGTATACGGAGGTGTCCCCCCCCTATACACAGTGTGGTATACGGAGGTGTCCCCCCCCTATACACAGTGTGGTATACGGAGGTGTCCCCCCCCTATACACAGTGTGGTATACGGAGGTGTCCCCCCCTATACAGAGTGTGGTATACGGAGGTGTCCCCCCCCCCCTATACACAGTGTGGTATACGGAGGTGTCCCCCCCCCCCCCTATACACAGTGTGGTATACGGAGGTGTCCCCCCCCCTATACACAGTGTGGTATACGGAGGTGTCCCCCCCCCCTATACACAGTGTGGTATACGGAGGTGTCCCCCCCCCCCCTATACACAGTGTGGTATACGGAGGTGTCCCCCCCCCCCATATACACAGTGTGGTATACGGAGGTGTCCCCCCCCCCTATACACAGTGTGGTATACGGAGGTGTCCCCCCCCCCCCCCTATACACAGTGTGGTATACGGAGGTGTCCCCCCCCCCCCTATACACAGTGTGGTATACGGAGGTGTCCCCCCCCCCCTATACACAGTGTGGTATACGGAGGTGTCCCCCCCCCCCCCTATACACAGTGTGGTATACGGAGGTGTCCCCCACCCTAAAACACAGTGTGGTATACGGAGGTGTCCCCCCCCCCCTATACACAGTGTGGTATACGGAGGTGTCCCCCCCCTATACACAGTGTGGTATACGGAGGTGTCCCCCCCCTATACACAGTGTGGTATACGGAGGTGTCCCCCCCCTATACACAGTGTGGTATACGGAGGTGTCCCCCCCCTATACACAGTGTGGTATACGGAGGTGTCCCCCCCCTATACACAGTGTGGTATACGGAGGTGTCCCCCCCCTATACACAGTGTGGTATACGGAGGTGTCCCCCCCCTATACACAGTGTGGTATACGGAGGTGTCCCCCCCTATACACAGTGTGGTATACGGAGGTGTCCCCCCCTATACACAGTGTGGTATACGGAGGTGTGCCCCCCCCCTATACACAGTGTGGTATACGGAGGTGTCCCCCCCCTATACACAGTGTGGTATACGGAGGTGTGCCCCCCCCTATACACAGTGTGGTATACGGAGGTGTGCCCCCCCCCTATACACAGTGTGGTATACGGAGGTGTGTCCCCCCCCCTATACACAGTGTAGTATACGGAGGTGTGTCCCCCCCCTATACACAGTGTAGTATACGGAGGTGTGTCCCCCCCCCTATACACAGTGTAGTATACGGAGGTGTGTCCCCCCCCCCTATACACAGTGTAGTATACGGAGGTGTGTCCCCCCCCCCCCTATACACAGTGTAGTATACGGAGGTGTGTCCCCCCCCCTATACACAGTGTAGTATACGGAGGTGTGCCCCCCCCCCCCTATACACAGTGTAGTATACGGAGGTGTGTGTCCCCCCCCTATACACAGTGTAGTATACGGAGGTGTGTCCCCCCCCCCCCCCTATACACAGTGTAGTATACGGAGGTGTGTCTCCCCCCCCCTATACACAGTGTAGTATACGGAGGTGTGTCTCCCCCCCCCTATACACAGTGTAGTATATACGGAGGTGTGTCCCCCCCCCCCCCCTATACACAGTGTAGTATACGGAGGTGTGTGTCCCCCCCTATACACAGTGTAGTATACGGAGGTGTCCCCCCCCCCCTATACACAGTGTAGTATACGGAGGTGTCCCCCCCCCTATACACAGTGTAGTATACGGAGGTGTCCCCCCCCCCTATACACAGTGTAGTATACGGAGGTGTCCCCCCCCCCTATACACAGTGTAGTATACGGAGGTGTCCCCCCCCCTATACACAGTGTAGTATACGGAGGTGTCCCCCCCCCCCTATACACAGTGTAGTATACGGAGGAGGTGTCCCCCCCCCCCTATACACAGTGTAGTATACGGAGGTGTCCCCCCCCCCCCTATACACAGTGTAGTATACGGAGGTGTCCCCCCCCCCCCTATACACAGTGTAGTATACGGAGGTGTCCCCCCCCCCTATACACAGTGTAGTATACGGAGGTGTCCCCCCCCCCTATACACAGTGTAGTATACGGAGGTGTCCCCCCCCCCCCCCTATACACAGTGTAGTATACGGAGGTGTGTGTCCCCCCTATACACAGTGTAGTATACGGAGGTGTCCCCCCCCTATACACAGTGTAGTATACGGAGGTGTCCCCCCCCCTATACACAGTGTAGTATACGGAGGTGTCCCCCCCCTATACACAGTGTAGTATACGGAGGTGTCCCCCCCCCTATACACAGTGTAGTATACGGAGGTGTGTGCCCCCCTATACACAGTGTAGTATACGGAGGTGTGTGTCCCCCCTATACACAGTGTAGTATACGGAGGTGTCCCTCCCCCTATACACAGTGTAGTATACGGAGGTGTGTGTCCCCCCCCCCTATACACAGTGTAGTATACGGAGGTGTGTCTCCCCCCCCTATACACAGTGTAGTATACGGAGGTGTGTGTCCCCCCTATACACAGTGTAGTATACGGAGGTGTGTGTGTCCCCCCCCTATACACAGTGTAGTATACGGAGGTGTGTGTCCCCCCTATACACAGTGTAGTATACGGAGGTGTGTGTCCCCCCTATACACAGTGTAGTATACGGAGGTGTCCCCCCCCCCCCTATACACAGTGTAGTATACGGAGGTGTCCCCCCCCCCATACACAGTGTAGTATACGGAGGTGTCCCCCCCCCCTATACACAGTGTAGTATACGGAGGTGTGTGTCCCCCCTATACACAGTGTAGTATACGGAGGTGTGTGTCCCCCCTATACACAGTGTAGTATACGGAGGTGTCCCCCCCCCTATACACAGTGTAGTATACGGAGGTGTCCCCCCCCCCCTATACACAGTGTAGTATACGGAGGTGTCCCCCCCCCCCCTATACACAGTGTAGTATACGGAGGTGTGTCCCCCCCCCCTATACACAGTGTAGTATACGTAGGTGTCCCCCCCCCCCTATACACAGTGTAGTATACGGAGGTGTGTGTCCCCCCTATACACAGTGTAGTATACGGAGGTGTCCCCCCCCTATACACAGTGTAGTATACGGAGGTGTCCCCCCCCCTATACACAGTGTAGTATACGGAGGTGTGTGCCCCCCCTATACACAGTGTAGTATACGGAGGTGTGTGTCCCCCCTATACACAGTGTAGTATACGGAGGTGTCCCTCCCCCTATACACAGTGTAGTATACGGAGGTGTGTGTGTCCCCCCTATACACAGTGTAGTATACGGAGGTGTGTGTCCCCCCCTATACACAG